GGTCCATTTGATTGTCGCCTCAACGCCACCAAGCTACGGGACATATGATAGAAAGATATATGGATAGATAGATAGATAGATAGATATTTAGGGACCCTTAATAAAATGAATGAACATTATTTAACGCATGGCTATTAAAGACACCATTATGTTTTCAAAGCTTCCTGTGTCGATCTTTGGAGTGTTTCTTCATAACCCTAAACTGTTTTGACGTAAATGGGCCCTTCTCTTTCCTCGTGTATTCTATTGATGTCATTCACCTAATGAACCCTCGCCCATCCAGATGCGGTGCATGTGATGCATAACTATATACCATTCCTGAGGTAATGCATACCTCAGGAATGGTATATAGTTCTATTGGAACTTGTAAACAAGCCCCCTCACAAGCTATTTCGTATTCTTTATACATGTATACGTACATCCGTTATAACCAGGAGCGTCGTGAATCAATCATTATTAGCTCGACCGCTGTTATATCCCTTTTCATCATCATGTTAACAAGGCGAGAGGTTTCTACGACATTGGAAATAAACTCAAACATCACACAAAATATACAGGGCGTATCATAATAAAGGATATTGAAGTTTAATGACGGTTTATATGAAAACTACTGATTTCATAATCAAGCATTTTAATTTTTATGTCTGTTGTAAAGAACAGAATGTCCTCTTGTTAATGACACCCCGATCATACTACTACTGTCACAGTTGACTGAATAACAAAGCATTGCTGTCCACCATGTGAAAGGTGCACTGTGACAAGTTTCAGTGAATTTCCTTCGTAAGGCCCGGTCACACAGAGGGACGCATGGGGGACGCACGGCCGGCGCATGGAAAATTTGCAATTTTGGCCAGTGCGTTGTCGTGCGCCCAACTTTTGGTCGAAGCTATACAGCTAGCTGACACAAATGCATAGCGCGCTGGACGCATACAGGGCGTACACAGGGCGCACACAGGGCGCACACAGGGCGCACACAGAGCGCACATGAAAACAACTTCCACGAATGCACAGCGTGTTGCTAGCGCGCTGGACGAATGTCCACGCATGCACCGCGTTCTACGACGCACGGCCAGCGCATTGGAAATCGGAAAAGAACATGTGCCTAACTTTTGTCACAATTTTGGAAAAGCTAGCGAGCTGACACAAAATGCACGGCGTGTAGCTAGCGCGCTGTGCGTATACAGGGCGTGTGCTCCGCGTTTGTCTGGCGCTGGTCTAGCGCGCTCCACGCATGTCTGGCGCTGGTCTAGCGCGCTCCGGCGCATGTCTGGCGTGCCTTTGGCGTGTATATATTCATGCGTCGAGCTCGGTGCACGTTTTTGAGCATGCTCAAAAAATCCCGACGCACACAGCGAATGACGACGAATGCATAGCGCTGGTCCAGCGTTGGTCCAGCGCGCTCGACGAACGAGTAACGAGTGATGACGCACGCCTAGCGAACGACAACGCACTGGCCCCAAATTGCAAATTTCCAATGCGCTGGCCGTGCGTTCCCCATGCGTCCTCCCTGTGTGACCGGGCCTTTAGACACATAATCCACTCATTGTTCAGCATTTCAATATGTCTGGGCTGACACAAGCACTAATCTTTAGAATTTATCTGTGAATGCTAACTTGTCACAGTGCACCTTTCACATGGTGGACAGCATGCTTTGTTATTCAGTCAACTGTGACAGTAGTAGTATGATCTGGGTGTCATTAACAAGAGGACATTCTGTCCTTTACAACAGACATAAAATGCTTGATTATGAAATCAGTAGTTTTCATATAATCGTCATTAAACTTCAATATCCTTTATTATGATACGCCCTGTATCGCTCATTAACGAATGAAGAACGTGATTTCGTGACTTCGCGCTTCTTGTGAATAGAAAGATTCCTTGAATTATAAAATGGAAATTACAGAACAAGCCCACGTCTAATAATCAAACTTTATTATGTTGTGTTTAAGATCCGAATATGGTTTTTTAAACAAAAAAATTACTCGCAGCTAATATCGTTTTTACACTGATTTCTTTCAACACAATCTATCTGTCTCTGCCTGTCTATATGTCTGTCTGTATGTCTGTCTCTTTTCATGTTTAAAAAAAAGGGATTCAGTCTAAACATTTCAGCTCCCGTGCACTGCCATATCTACATTTCGACTCGCAGTGCCGCCCCTACTTGTTTTTGTACACCTACAGCGTCACCTTTTCTTCTTCTGCATCATCATCTCATCCATCAATTCTATACCCCCAAGTCAAGCCTCTCTCACTCTCTCTCTCTCTCTGTCTCTCTCTGTCTCTCTCTCTCTCTCTGTCTCTGTCTCTCTCTCTCTCTCTCTCTCTCCACTCATGTTCTTTCAACTTCCCCTCTCAGTCTCTCTACGTCTCTCTCCCATCTATCTTACAAACTGAATGTCGTTCACCTTTCTTCCTGTCAGTCAGTCTGTCCCACCATCAATGAAGCATGCTTCGGTCGGTGGACCATTAACTCCTCCAACCCTGGCGCGTTGACATATTATCTTCATCACCATCATCATCATCGTCATCATCATCATCATCATCATCATCATCGTCATCATCATCGTCATCACCATCATTATCATCATCACCATTTTTTGTTAATCAGTCGAATTCATGATGCTGACAAACTGCAGAGAAAAAAAACCGCCCTTTAATTTGTTTCCAATGCGAAGTCGGCCTAGGGATTGAAAACCAATAGGCGTGACCATTATCTACGATTGCGACAACTGATTGTTATCTGAAAATCCTTTACGTCATTTAAAAATTATTAGATATTTTTAGACGAACATTTTTATGTTCAAAGAGATAATTACTCGATCTTATTAGCTGTGACGTCACTGGAAAATAGATCAAGAGGGAAAAGAAGGGAAGTGGAATTTAGAGGTTGGGGGGGGGGGGGGTTTGTGAATAATGGGATCAAACGGAAAGGTTTTACCATCAATTGTTTTTCATTTTGTTTTATTATTTCTCAAATTTCTTTATGTTTATGCAGGCAAGTTTGGAGAAGCCGGGGCGGCACATGACGTTCTTTTACTCACTCCCATCACCAATAAGTTTCGCTAATTTTTGTGTACAAGTTCGAAATGACGCTTCTTTTTTTATCCTTGTCTTTTCATTGTAATTGATAACACGTAATTATTTAAAAAAATACTTTAAAGTTGTTTCAAGTAGTTTTGCTCATTTTATTTTATTTTATATTTTGCGGGTAAGTATTTTTGTCGCTCTGAGTACCTTTATAAACCCCCTCGTTTTCTTTCTTTCTTTCTATCTACTGGCCCCAACCATTACGTTCAGTGACCGTCATGACTGAGATCTGTAAGGTGTTCATCAGGTCATCTTATAAGTTCTCATTATCTGGCATATGCTCGGACACAATATCAGGCCGTGCCCCTCTCCTGCTTCCTGTGTTTTCCGGCAATGCACCGTGCACATGCAACGCTCTTTGGCATTCATAACAATATCCACCTAGAAACTGGCAACTGATATCATCCAATATAATATTCCCGATATCGTCTCCCCTTTCAGACCCTAGTGATTGACACCCCTATGATTTACTGACAAAAGTACGAAGTGGACTACGCAATAACGCAACACACACACAGAGAGAAAAAAAGGCCAGAATTAGAAGAAAAAGAAATGGAACTACAAGAAGAAAAAAAAAAAAAAAATCTAAAACACCCCGGTCAGGGAGGATTCTGAAACATGGAATTAAATATCATTCCTGGGGAATTCGAGAAGAGGAGTATCAGGAATGCATTCTATACGCGGTATGAACAACATAATGTTGGATAACTGATAAAACAGATCGACAGCCAACATAATTCAGATAGAAATGATCGGAGAGGATGAGCAGGAAGATGAGATGG